GGGAATTTTTGGTGAGTGGAGAGAAAACTTTTACCTGGTATAGAATTCTCCAAGACGTCAAACGCAAAGGTTCCTTCAAAGACAGGATCAAACTCGTTGACGGGAGTGATGGAGATCTGTAGGAACAAAACGAGGCTAATGCTGAGGCTTGGAATATTTCTCACCTCCATCGACACAAATTAGGTCGTTTTGAAAGGTTGGTTTATCAATCCTGCGCGCCAAGCTCAATCCGGAAGGTGTGACTAAAAAAACCCACCAAACGTATTTATGGAAAAATAATGTATTATTGTCAGCAATAGATCTAAAGTTCAGTTGCGATATTTTTCAAATCTCCGTGCACAAAATTAAATACAACAATGTCACAGAATATTATTGTGTAGTATGTTTGGTGCTGCCTGCTTTTTCGTTCTCTTTTTGTTGTTAAAGTTTCAGATAAAGGAAACAGAATTAAACATCTGTGTAAATAAAGATGTTATGAGAAGATACGTTTCTGTTTACTTTGAAACACCTTCTTTTTTAAAATCACTTTCTTCTTTACTTTAAATACTTTTTCTTTACTTTAAATGACCATTTCTTTCCTCTTTACTTTAAACACCTTCCCTTCTTTTTCTTTTTTTTACTTTAAACACCCTCTTCTTTACTTTAAAAGACTTCTTCTTAACTTTAAACGTCTTCCTCTTAACTTTAGACGTCTTCTTCTTTTCTTTAAACACCCCCATTACTTTAAACGCCCTCATTTTTTTCAAAACACCCCCAAACGGCGCGAAGTCAAGCGATAAGAAATAACCAGAATGTCGGGAGCTCTCTCAGTGAGTTAATCAATCTGTCCACGGGGTTTTATGCAACCCCGCATAATTTAGTAAAATTTAATCATTTTCTGCATAATTTCTGATTATTTTCCTTTACCATTCTTTGAAATCTTTGTTAAAATTAACAGAATCGTATAAATTCACATTTTGGGGGCTTATATATAGTTTGCATAATTTCAACTTTTTGGGGGGCATAAAACCGCGGGGACAGAACCAACCTGCAGCAGCACTGTGCTAGACTGAGGCACAAGCCCTCCATCTGTGGCCACCACCTCCACCAGGTAGGACGTCGTGTTCTCAAAGTCCAGCGCCTCTTTCACCGTCACTGCCCCGATGTTGGGGTCAACGATCTCAAACGTGGGCCCTGGGGACGAGAAGAAAATTATAATAATAATAAT